GTGGGTTTCCATGACTGTCACTGTTTATGGAAGTAGAAAGCCCAGGCTTCCTCCGGCAGGGCAGCTGGGGCTTGCGAACTGGTGACCATGCAGATCACAGCCCAGCACGAAACCATTGCACCATCAGGGCTCATTGTGGGGGAAATTGTACTATGTCTCCTTCTCTACTGTAGGCCAATCCATAAGCCTAAGGATCCTCATGAGGACCCTAAGGAGGGTCCTCAATCGTAGATACCAGTCTTACTCTGACCTTGTGACTTAGTTTTGTTAAGTAGCTAGCTACAGGGACAAGGGCGTTGTCCCTCCCATGCCTGCAAAGGCCCCCATAAAGGAAGTTGGGAGGAAATCAGGCAACCATCAGATGCCTATGAAGACCCCAAACTCTTATTCAAGCCCCCAGCCAGGTGGGAGGTACACTTGGGAAGTCCAAACTAGGCCTGGGCTCATGACCTTACCCAGGTGGCCTTAACCCAGCAAGCTCCCTGGTCTTGCTCTCTGGTCCCGGCTCATCTTGTGCCATAGCCTGTCTGGCCCCCATTCCACACATCTGTGTGCGCTTTTCCATGAGTTTGCTCGTGCCCAATTGTGAACTGCCTGAAACTTGTCCTGTCCTTCATAAAAAAAACCACTTGAATTACAAAATGGGCTTTGACATGAATTCTTTCATTATGCGAAGCCAAGAACCGAGTGTTTACCCACTCCAGAAACCTTACAGTTTGTCGTTTTTGCTGTTGTGTGCCAGCAAGTCAACCCCAATTCACAGTGACCCTACAGGACAGAGAACAACTGCCTCATAAGGTGGCCTGGGCTGTCATCCTTCTGGACACAGTCGGCCAGGTCTTGGCCCTGCAGAGCTGCTGGGAGGCTCCAACCTTTCGGTTAGCAGCCGAGAGCTTCACCTTTGCACCTCCAAGGCTCCCTGTGACTTAATTTCCTCCAATAACATTCCCAAGCCTGTGACAGTACTGCCGAGTATTTTCTTCACAGCATGCAATAGACACAACAGAATGACTACAGTTGGCTAAGCCTTACTTCAGAATTTGTTCTTTACGCTTCTGAGCGAGGTATTTCTTCTTTATGTTCATCAGCTCGTTGGAGAGTTTCTCAATCTCAAACTTATATTCTTGGCTCTGTGACTCATACATATTCAGTTCTGACGACAAAACCTACATCGCAAATAAGGCAGCGTTAACATAAGAGACTCGACATTGTTTTCAGCCTGTTGGTGGTGGTGGTGGTGGTGGTGGTTTCATTCCCTCCGTGGAGCTAGAGACACAAAGCCAAGCCCCGATCAAGAGGTTCTCTGCCCACTGTCACCAGCTCAAGGTTCCCACCGGGGTGAGAACCTACCTGAGGGGTGAAGGCTCACAATCAGATGGCAAACTGTAAATGAGACAGCATCTCCCTGCTTGAAAGGGGAACTATCAGGCCACATCACACAGGCTCACAAATGAATGCTGTCCTATGCTTCAAAGAATACTTACGATAACTAGAGACCAAAAAGCTCCCAGACATATTTTATAAATTGCTTTTAAAGCTTTTTTGCTGTTATTGTTGTTACCAAAAAAAAAAAGCATTCAAGAGAAATGTTACTAAGTAGTGTGACTCATCTGAGAATGGTCGTAAAAACGATTCTGGAATCATCTCGACACCACCATTAACTAGGTCTCAATTCACGTGTTTTCCACAGTGCTGGTTCTGCTAAATGTCTATCACCTCTTTGTTGTGCTCCTTGACACAATTCACAAGTCTGTTCTTCGTCCCAGCATTGGGACACTTACCTCTAAGAAGCCGGGAGCTGTGGCATGTGCTTTGAAGAGCTTAGCCTACGTGCAGAGATTACATAAACAGCCTGCTTCTCTGCTTTCTTCCATGCGTGGGTTCAAGATATGCCACCGGTCTCAGACCGGGCAAGAAACTAGGCGATTGCTCATGAGACCAAGGGGAGAGACGCACGGCGACGGTTGCGCAGGCATGGTGTCCTCTTGTGCCTCTTAGTCTCTATTATGAAGACGTGTGTAAGAGGGGGATCAGTGCCTGACGTGGTCACTCGCATATGAGCCCTGCCTGCCCTCTGAATGGCTGTGACCGTGACCCTGACTGTGATCACGTGAGCTAAAGAAGATCACTTTCCTGTTGGGAGAAAACCTGGCTCGATTATCAAACCCTTAAGGATAGAGAGTCCGTCTCCAAATGATGACTACGGAGCCAGGGGAAAGCTTAGACAGCGAGAGGACCATGTGCCGACCTGCTCAGGACCACCCACCGCAACATCGCTTTCATGAGGCATCACAGGTCCATCGTTCATTCAGAGCGAGGAGCTGGATGTCCAGAGAGACTGGAGTCAAAGGCTCTCCTGTACTATTATTCAGTGCAACCCAGAGAAGGTGGGGGGCTGGGGGGGTGGCCTGGCAGTAATATCAAGATGGCCATTTCTGTCTTTACATTATATTTCTAATCTCTACCAACCCCAGAGAACCCCAGTTTTTTGTTTTGTTTGAAGTATGCCTTTTTTTTTAAAGGAACGAAGAGAATCAAAAGTGTGTGCTTTATGCAAAACTCAAATGATGCCTCAGGATACGCATGTGAAACGCAGAGTTGGAGGAATAAGTTGAAAAATGCATATTCTAATTAGACTTCTTTCTCATTTGCCTTTTTGTAAGTAAGATGATGTGATTTTGATAATCCTCTTTAGGAAGGGTCAGTAAGATACATGCCACATGGCATCCACTTGAACCTGAGACAGAAAGGCAACAGCGATTGCCTTCACTGTGCAGGTGCTGTTGCTGTAGGTGCAATGGGATCCTAGTCTGAACAAACTGGCCCGATGACCTAGTGACAGAACATAACACGGCCTGGTCCTGAGCCACCCGCACCATCGTCCCTGTGCCTGAGCCCCTTGTTGCAGCCACTGTGTCACGCCATCTCCCCGAGGGCCTTCCTCTTTGCCAAGTATGCTGTCCCCTCCAGGGTCGCTCCTGACCCTATGTCCAAAGTATCTAGGCTGGAGTCGCAGGTAAGAACAAGAAGTCAGCTTGCATCAGCGGCATAGTCTGGTTGTGTGTGTAAGACTGCTGACTGGGACAAGAATATCTATGTACTCACTTAGACAATGAAGCTTGAAACAGAGTGTGAACACACAGTTTTCCTGAACACTTTCAAAAAAGATCTGTGTAACCGAATAAGCCACCCCACCTCCCCTCCCAATGGAGATTCTTGCATTACTTAGATAGGAAGTCATACGAGCAGATTCTTCATTTTCCTTACTTTCCGTGACTACTTACTTCCTATGGAATCATTAAACAAGGCCCAGGGAGTCTTATTTTGTGGACATGGTTTTGTATATACCAGACTATGCTTTGCATACATTATTTTTTCAAGTGGAATGGAATAACAGAAACCTGCTTGAACACAATGGCCAGCCCTGATTGGGCCATGATGGGAACACATCTCTTCTGCTCCTTCGCACCATTCAAGTCCTCTGGGTCATCCTCCGACCACCCAAACAACCCCTCACCCCTCCGTCTTTATCCCATTGCCGCCATCCTTCCTCCAACTGTCTTCTCACTTACACTCACTTGACTCTTTCTGGAAGTGGAAACGCAGGGAGGAGAAGAGACGAGATCTGAGGCCTGCCCGTCCCTCCTAAGACAGGACCACTAAAGAAACAGACCTTCCCAGAGTGGGGTATCTGAGAGCCTGGCTCCCTGAGCCAAGGGAGTGGACTTGTCCCAGGGTGCTGCTTCAAGTGTGGTCTTGCTTCAGCCAGAAAAGAACAGAGGCCACCACTTACCTTGAGCTGCTTGGTCTTCTCTCGCAGTGTGTGTCGGTAGAGCTGGAGCTGTTCTGCAGCCTCGGGCCCAGGCTGCCGGGCCAAGATGTGCTTTAGTTCCACATACAGCTTCTCTTTTTCCTGGCAGGGAGCACAACCGCACGGGGAAGTAAACAGTGACATCCAAGCAAAGAGTCAGCCTTTAACAGCATGGGCAGGATACGTGGGGGCGACCCTACCTCCCAGTTGACACTGTTTACACTGCTTACACTTACTTATAGATGCCTGCCTTCCTGCATCACACCAGCCCCTATCGAGAACCTAGGTTGCACCCAGTATGTGAATTCAAATAATCAGGAAAACCATTAAGAGAAAGTATCTCTCTGCCAAAACATAGGATTGATTACACAACTGGGAGAGAGCTCAACTAAAGGGAGGGACTGACTGATCGCAGGAGATGGGTAGAGTCCACCAAAAAATGTGCATTTTTTAATGGTCCCTTAATGACTAGGAACTCCCCCAACCCCCACCCCCAGCAGAGTTGAAAAGAAGAGCTTTTTAGGTAAAAGTTCCGTGATGGGACACGGGGAACAGTGAGTTCAGTGAGTTCAGTTGAACAGGGCCAGAGTGAAACGAGAAGCTTAGAGAACAGACAGAACTCCTGGGTTAGGACCAGACTGAGTATGTCACAGGGAAGGATGTGGGGCCCCATCTTTAGGCAATGGAGAGCCAAGGAACAGTCCTGCCCAAATTTGTCAGTGGGAACGTTCCAACACAAAGCTGAGATCAGAACGAGGAGACTGATCAAGGCCCTCGGACAAGCAGAGGAAAGACTAGCCGAAGGCAGCGAGGACAGAGCATGGATAGATGTAAACACATTTCAGAGGCGGAACCAACACGCTTTGGTAAATGATCTGATAAGAGGGGTAGGAAGGGCAGGAGGGAAGATGATTCCGAGGTCTCAACCTAGGCAGGTGATGGTGATGGAGGCAAGGGAGGAGAGAAGAGGGGGCAGGTGTGGAGAAAGGAAAATGTGACTGTGTCCTCTAAGAATCACCAAGTGCAGGACTAGTTTCACCCTGAGGCCCTTAGTAGATCCAGAAGAGGTGGGGAGAACAGGGCCCAGGGCTGAGAGCCAAGGAGTATGTGGAAGACAGATCATGCCTACAGCTATGAGAAGGGATCCACTGGCCAGGGAAGGGTCACCTGGTGGGCTAGGAAAGCCAGGTGTTTGGGAGAACAATATATCAGGTGGTATGAGTATATGAGCAAAGAAGAAAACCCAGGAGAAAAGAAGGTAAAGTGATTGAATGTTCCCCAAACCAACCAAGTGCAGCTATTTGAGGATTTGTATGGCCAGTGTCACCCATTTGGGTAAAGAGGGAAAAAAAACAGCAGAAGGCTAGAAAAACAGCTATTGGGGTAAGTAGGACAGCGGTTCTCAAACTGTAGGTCATGACCCTTTTGGGAGTCCAACGGCCCTTTCACAGGGGTCGCCTAAGACCGTCGGAAAACACATGTTTCCAATGGTCTCAGGAACCAACCGAGGACACCGCTCCGCTATCCGACTCCAGGAGGGTCCACCCACATGCAGATAAGCCCACAGAGGAGTTCCTGCGTGAAGACTGTTACCCATGCGACACCACGCTTCCAGACAACATTCCATTGATTTGTCATTAGAAATAAATACTTCACAATATCTGATTACATCCTGTTTTTGTGATGAATCACTATGCTTTAATGATGTTCACATTTTAACAATGAAAATATATCCTGTATATCAAATATTTACACGAGGATTTATCACAGTAGCAAAATGACAGTGATGAAGTAACAATGAAATTAACTTTATGGTTGGGGGTCACAACCACATGAGGACGTGTCTGGAAGGGCCACGGCCTGAGGAAGGTGGAGACCACTGAATGAGGGTGTCGTGGCTGCCCCCAGGCAGAGAGGTTGGCGCAGCACTTGGAGAACAAACGGCACACTGGTGAGCAAATCCGAATGAGGCCGGAAGAACGTGGGTCTCTCCAGAGGGATGTTGTCGTGGGAAGAGATCTGACGTGGCTGGAGGGGTCTGTGCAGTCCAGGAAAACTCGGACATGCGAATTTGTGAAAAGTAAGGGAAAAGACTTCCTAGGACCCCGACCCTTAATTTAATCAATGCATGATCTGAAATTCCCATTCCTAGGTCAAAGTTTCATTGTTTATGATGGTTTTTACTTGAACGAAAGATAGTACATATGAGCCACAATTTATTTCTAAGCCGCATCAATTCTAGATTCTCATCTCTCTAAACTGCAATAATTTGAACAAACATTGATAAAGACTAGTGTCTCCTCATTTGTCTCTGTACATATTTATTCCCTTAAGGTAATTATGTTACAGGGGAAAACTGGGATCCATACAAGCCCTCTTATTAAATGAAACAGCCAGTCAAGTGGAAACTAAATTTTACCTGGAGCTAAGCACTCTTAGTCTTGTCACCAAACAATCTGATTTTGCCAGAGAACATAAAAGTCATAAAAAAAAAATCGGTAAAAGAAAATTCATTAACTAGCTATGGTTACTGTTGATTGGAGTTTTCCCTTCTCCCTGGCCAGATTATAGAAATGTTATTACACATATCATAACTCTATCTACAAAGGCGTGTGACTGCAACTGGCTGGAAGCAGCTTGTGGAGACACATAATCATACTCGCCACTGAAGAGATGATTCCAGAAACAACCAGGAAACCCAGAGGCTCCCACAAAAGAAGAAAACTTGAGCAAATAGAATCACAAAGTGGTGGTTTTCCTTTGCTATACAACACCTCCTGCCTCACCTTACAATATAATCTTCACGGTAAATGGATGTAGCAAGCAATGAGAAAGATATCAAGAGGTGAGTTTATTTTCTATAGCCATTTAATGCCTGCTCTGTTGGAAAAAATAACACTTCTGACAAGGCTTCAAGATTCAATTTGGAAAGGGTAATAAATATGTGGTGAAGTCCATGAAACCATTTTGCCCATTTCCTTCGGCTCACCTTTCTATGGGCCAAAGTACAGGTAGACTTGGAAAAAGTAAAGAACTCACAATGATAAGAAAGAAGCAATCTAGTTTGGGATGTAATGATGTCTTAAACTGAAAAGACCATCTTACTCCAAGAATGCTGAAATGTTACACATGTCTCTTGGCGGGGAGAGAGGGGAGAGACGGACAGCGAAGGTGGGCTGGAGGAAGAAAATATTGTGACCTCCCATCGTGGGTAAGAGTCTCAAGGTCTACAGAGGTGAGTGGGGTGTCCAAACTCCCTGCCCACGTGCAAATCCTAGTCGGGAGTTACTCAAGAATCCCTTTTCCCAGGGGATGCTGCCGATGGGACTTGAAAATATGTTCTGGCCCTGAAAAAATCTGGATCCTGTGGAAGTAGGAAATTTCTCAACGCCACATCATATCCATTGAATAATCAACGCCACAACGCCATATCCATAGAATAATCAAAAGGTGAAATCAGGTTCAGAGAGAGGGGAGAGGAGTCAAGTATGATGAGTCTGACCCAGCTCCTCCATCTCCTGACCTACCGTGTCCTCTCGTAGGAAGTGTGATCTCCGAATGCGAGGTGGGTAGGTCGCATTTATTGTCTTCATCTAGCACATCTAGTTCGTTCGCTTGTGTGATGTGCAAGGCTGTGAAATGGATTAATGCCAAAGGATGCACTGGGTGACTAAACCGGAAGGATCCACCGGTGTGGAGAAGAGCGAAGATACTGGGTGAAGTCCCATGAAAATCGCCTAAGTAGTCAAAGTCAAATGATTCTGAGAGTTAAATAAACAGAAGACATCTGTGTGTTTGCGGTGGAGGGGATGAGTACCAAACAAAACTCCAGGGTTAAAACCATGAAATGTGTGACGAGCAGAGAGAAAGAGAAGGGTCGGTTGTTCAGGGATTTGAATGCGCTGCCAGACTTCAGCGCACATGGATTGTGGTCTGTGCTCACCGTGGGAAACTCAACGGATGAAGCCACCATGAAGGCTGGTCAGCATTAACATTCTACCCGTGTGTCTCAGACAGATTTGTGTTTGGGGAGAACGTGCCAGTAATTTAGATAAATATGGAGTGTTTGATGGATTGAAGGTCTTAAGTATGATTGTTTTCCAATTTATTTCCGTCCTAACCCTCTACAAGGGCCAACCAAGCTCTTCAAACATTGTGCAATGGTGTGTATAATAACCCCATTTAGAGACAAAGCGTGTGATTCTATTATAAAGAGAATCTATCTTATGCAACAGAGACTCGTTAGCTGTCCAGTGTAGATTGTCTCCATAAGCCAGCAGTGACAGGACCAGCTGCCTTGCAATACATACCCATCCTTCCTCATTAAGCGCATCAATTTCCTTTTAAACCTACTCACTTAATTTCTCACTGGGTTAGATGCACCATATGTCAATGAAAGATCCGAAGAAAATCCTAAGTAGTTTATTACTTCCCCACCAATACAAGATGGCATCTTTGGGTTGGCATGTCATCGTTTACTCTGGTTGGTTTACAGTACGCATGACTACAATTTCTTTGGCGCATACTCCACTCTTGATGAACAGCTGTATTGGAACTAAGCTGGACTATTAACACCTAAAATCTAGATGTCTCTTGAGCTGAGGATGTCTTCCAGGCATGAGCCATATGAGTGTCCATCCTTGAAAAAATCTCCTCCTAGACACCCCTTTCTTTCATCTGGACATACTGTCAGGCATGAGTATGCATTCTTTTGTATAAGACTCTCTGCCAAGTTATGCTAGGTAACAGCACAGCTCATTGTCAAGACTGCTGAGTTGAGTGGCATGGTAAGAAATTAATTACAGTATTAGCTTGGAATAATGCTGTCATTACATGGTGACAGTCTGTAACCCCATAGAGGAAACTCCAGGTTCGGAGTCATTGAGACTTCAGCTATTTGTATTTTATCTGACAATAAATTACAAGTCTACATTCTGAAGACTATATGCAAATAAGAGCCAGTGCTATTCTGAGTACAATTCTGAGGAAGTAATTGAGTTGCTCACTGAACTCCTTTCCCCACCAACCCACAGCTTTCTATTCACTGTCTGCTCATAGTCCTTTGCAGCTTCAGCTGAAAACAGGAGGTAGTTCACATTCAA